ATTCTTGTCCTTTTTTCTTTTCTTTTTTTTTCTCAAAATGGACAACAACAGTTCGAGACTTTGAAATTTGAACGCTTTGGAACTTTAACTTCAATTTTCTAAAGAAGCATCGCTTTCTAGACTGCAAGAACTGATCAAGTGTTTGTTTTCATTCTTAATTTATTAGTTGTCATTAAATTTTATATTTAAATTAATTTTAGTCACATATTTTATATATGGTAAAAACTAATTATTAAAATAGTTTCTTTCATCATTTATTAGTGATTTGATATGCACCTAAATGCATTATATTACATTCTACTTTGAAATGATTTTTAACATCATATACTTAAATATATGTCCTGTCAGTATTAAATGATATAAAATTTATTTTTAAATTTTATAAGAGGATTATTATTTAAAAAATTAAATATGAATAATATATTTAAGCTAAGTCTAGTTTTATTTTTTTAAAAAAAGACAAAGCTGCCTAACTAATACTCGCAAATAAATTACTTTTAATTTTACATTTTAAATTTTTTTAAATTTGATTTATGGACAGAGTTAATAAAATAGGCTATTTCACACATTCAAGTTAACCTATGAATGCCTTGTATACTAATACAATATTAATTTTTATTAAATAATATATTTTATTATATTTGAATGTTTCGAATGAATAGTGCACCCTGTGCAGTTAAAGTGTAATGAGAGGATTCAGATCCTTTATTTGTTACTCCAATTTTTTTTATCATTATCATTATTTAAGTATTTTTAAAAGTATTCTCTTGTTTTTTTATAACTATATTCATAGTAAAATTATTTAATATTTTTTTAAAATTTAAGTAATAGTGAAAATACATAAATAACATTAAACATTTTCTTAATTTATATAAGCATTTTTTAATGTATTGTTAAACATACACTAAAAATGTTAAAACTAAATAGAAATGCACAACAGCAAACAACTTTTATCTTTTTTCCATGCCATTTAAAAATATAAAGAAATGAAAATTGTAATGCTAGTTGACAAATATTAAACAGCATCTTAATAATATTATTTAGGAAAAAATTCTTAGAAGATGTTTAAAATGACAAAATTTGTAATTAAACAAGTTAATTGAAAAATTTGACATAACACATCTAGTATATATAGTACTGGATAATTTATCCTTTAGCTTACCATTAATTGTTAAAGATTAATTAGATTTGTGAGAAGTCAAAATGTCTATTACAAAAGATCCAAAATATAAAATAATTTATATATTTTTTTAATAAAAAAATTATAATTTAGTTGCTATTGCTAACTTTGACTCTATATTAGTAAAAGGGTTTATAACAGCAATAATTAAGTTAAAATTCAATTAAAATAAAAACGTAAATTCAATATATTTAGTTTTAAAAACATAAAAGTATTACTGATTTCCTTTTTTTTTATTAAAATACTATTAACGTAATTTTTAACTTAATGAGTCTAATGACCTACAATACAAAATTAATGAATAATAATTTCAATATAAAGTAATTAACTTGGACAATTCAAAAAACATTTGAATTTACACACCATTTCATGCACTTTTACCATGCGAATCATGATTGTGGGTTGACACCAAAATTGTATTAGAAATTTAATATTTAATGTATTCATGAGATCTTATTGTATATTTAAACATGAATTAAAAAAATAAAATAGCAACATTTTCAAATTTTGTTCTCAATGTAAAAAAATGGAAGGTGTATTTATTGCAATTGGCAAGGAAGTCAGAATGGGGGATCCACACTATAAATAACCCAATGACAGAGACTGTGCTCTGTCCCCCATTCACCTTCTTAGTAGTTTGTGCCAAGGCAGAGTAATTCATTCAAGTTTCCACTTCTGCCAATTTCTGTAAGATCCAAGTTAAGGATTAAAAGTAATTTTGTTTTTGTATAAAAAATTATTAACTGGTGTTTTATCAATATTCATTTTTAAAATCCTTTTTTTTTTTTTATCTCAACATAGTTAGTTTATATTTAAAATAATTACATATTTCTAGTTAATTTTCAAAAAATTAAACTGAGTAATTCTTTTAAATTTTAAGTTGAACTAAACATGTTATTGAGTTTCTTAGACTTAATCATAAAGAGAAAACTATTGATTATTAGTTTAAGACAACAATTAACAAAGTTAACCTAAAGTATATTGATTAAAAAAATAAAGTAGCTTCTATAAAAACATAAATTTATTTTAAAATATTAATACAATTATTAGCAGGATACTTATAAACTATACTATATAAGTGTATAATTTAATTGCCCAGAAACAATTTCTTGATCAAATTCAGTTTTAATTACTTGACGTGATTCATTTTATTGAACATTTAACAGATTACACAAAAAAAAAAAACTTTTACCTATAAATTACAAATCTAAATAACAATACTTTAACAATAGAAAATGATGAATGCTATTTTTTCTTCAAAACAATCTACAAATGAAATAGCATTAAATCTTTCTTTTGGGATCCAACTCTGAGTTACCAATCATAATTCATCCTCAACTCACCATCTATTTCTTGGAGATTAAGAAAAGTAAAATTAACTTTGCTATTTCAACCCCAAAACCCAAAATGTTTTCCTATTTTAGCATAAAAGGCCACTTGTTTTCGTATGACGAAGTTGAATGCCATAAATCTTCTTTTTATAATACTTTGTAAATTAAAAAGACATTTTACTACTTGAAATGGTTATTATTATTAATTTTATATTAACAAATAATAGAATTAGTGATTTAATTAAAAATACATAAATCACAATAGTATAAACACGTTAAAAAACTCACCTTTTATTGGATTAGTTATTTTATAGAAGCTGTTTCCGTCAAATCCCACGTAACAACCGCTTCACGTTTAATTTTTAACTTTGTAACTAATAAATTAAGCAACAAAATTTACCTTCCACACACCTGAAGAAACTTTAAATAATAAAAAATATTAACATAAGCTACAAGTTAAGTTTAAACAACAACTCCTCCTAATAATAATTTATTAAATAATATTATTATATTTTTATAATTTTAATATGATAAATGTATTTTTTTTAATGAAGTGTAACAAAGACTTCTCTTTTAAATAAAGTTTTACTATTATTAATCGCTTAAATTAAACTTAAAAATTGGAATTAATTTTTTTTAAAATAATAAATATAAAAATTATTAATCTTAATTTTTAAAATTAAATTTAAACACTAGAAAGTAATACTTTTTTACTTAAAACTATTTTGTGATATTTTATAATTTTAATATAATAAATATATTTTAAAAAGTAAAATTTACTAGTTTTGAGTGCTTAAATTTAATTCTAATAACTTAAATTAAGAAAACCTATAAATATTAATACTAAGTTATAAACTATCACATCTTCCTTTTATAATGTGACTTGACAATATGTTAATCCAAGGTAACTGTATTTTCAAGTTGATGTAAATTATTTTTCACAGCATTAGACATACTTGTGTTCATAATTTATTATTAAGGAATATAATTACGTCAATAATTATACAAGATATAAATAGTTGTTTATGTAAAATATGTATTAAAAAAATGAGATAAGATAAAAGAGCTTGTTTAAATGGCGTGTTTATCACTCAAAGGGTAGCTATTGGGAGCAATCATTAACGGCGTTCTTTTCAGCCCACCAAAACCAAATATTTCTCCGTTTGGTTTTTTAATACGTGTGAGGGCAGCTTACCAAACACAAGCATGCAATGCAGATTAGTAAATTATATTTACTTAGAACTTATTTAAGAAATAAAAATTTTAAATTATTTCAAGAATATATAAAAAATCACTATTTTTTAATAAGTTAGTCTAAAGACATGCTCAAAAATATAAAAAATAATTGTAGAAAATTCTTCACAAAATGAATTATTCCGGTTGAGTGAAAAATATTTATGAGAAAGGATCATTTATATAAATTTGTACGAAGAAAGTACGGGGCAGGGTATAAGGAATATCTTAGTTGAAATAATTCATAATCATTTTATATTGTACCTTTCTATTTTATTTATAAATATCCTCTCATTATTTTTTCATTTTCTTCCCAAATTAGCTAGGAAGAGGCAGAGTCCACATGTTACTGCTGAATCCTTTGAAAATTTAATTTTTTATTTGTCATTGTTCGCTTAAAATAAACAGGGTTATCTTGACGATAGAGTGAGTTATTATAATAGTTAATTAAAAAATAACCGATTTAAATTGTGATGTATAATGTATATACATATATAATACATTATAAATTTTTAAAATTCTAATTGTCACTATATAAAAAATGTTTATTAATGATTCGTTATTATTATATTTTTTTAGTAAATATTCAAATGTTAATATATATATATGTATGTTATACTAATAATTTTATATTAATAAATTTTTAGTAGATAAAGATTACATTAAAAAGGTTAATTTTAACACTTAATGTTTTTTATTTGTTAATGAATGGTAATTTCTTTAATTTTTCGATAAACTTGAATTTACCCTTTGAAGCACTTTCTTTTATTTTTAAAGTAGTTAAATAAAGTTATTTATAGAATGTTCGCTGATTTTTTTTTAGAATTAAAGGATTAAACTAAAAAGTAGGTTTATAAAATAAAAATATTCATCTAACAAGGAATTGGTAGAATCCTCATGACCGCATATTTATGGAACAAACATGTCCCAAAATTATAGATAGATTAAAGAGAAAATTCAATAAGATTTGACGTTAAGTTAAATCGTGATTAAGCCAATTTATTCTGAATCTGGATGAACACTGTGTCTATAGTGTGATAGGTGATTTAAAATTTGAATAAAAGAGAAAAAATGTGTTAAACTTGAATGATGAAAAGTAATATATTAAAATGTAATTAATTAAAAAAGATAGTATAGAAGGAGAAATTGAAAGAGCAATGTTGAGACGTGAAACTGCATGGGTAATGAACACGTGGAAGGAATCTGTTACTGCGACCCTGCAAGAGATTTAAAAATGTAAAAGAAAAAGAAGAAGCATGGAATTGAGATGGTAATAACAATGATGAAAGGGGTCCGTTGCAAATGGCGGGTCTCCTCTTTCTCCCTCTCTTCACAAAACAACATAATACAGATCCCCAACATCACCAATCTCCATACCATTTGTTTATTACATTCTAATACAACATCTTCTTTTTTCCCTTTTCTTTTATTAAATTAAAATCAAAGATCTCTCTCTCTCCCCCCTCTGTTCTGATCTTCCTCTTGCATGCAACCTCTACGCTCTCATTTCTCTCTCATTCTCACGCTTCATTATGCGACACCATCATCGACCCTGAACCATGGGCTGCGGAGGCTCCAAGGTGGAGGACTTCCCCGCCGTCGCTCTCTGCAGAGAGCGAAAGGGGTTCCTGAAGGCCGCATCCAACCAACGCTACGCTCTCGCCGCTGCACACGTCGCATACTTCCATTCACTCAGGGAAATCGGCGACGCCCTTCGCAATTTCGTCGACCAAGACCTCTTACTCCCCGCCGGTTCCTCCTCTCCGGTTCTCACATTACCCTCCGATGAAGGAAAACCCAAAACCAAGAACAACAAGCTCTCCTCTTCTTCCCCTTCCATTTCCCACCCCGATTCTCCTTCCCCTCAGGGTTCCCACTTGCACCTATCTTCTGGATCCGAGTTCAGTTCTCCTTCTCCTTCCCCTTCCCCTTCTTCCCATCACCTTCACATTCACCATAGCCCCGACCCTGACCCCGCCCTTCACCCTGACCCATCACCTTCTTCATTTTCTCACCCTCCCTATGGATACTATGAAAATTACCAATACGCTCACTACATGAAGAGTTCTGCTCCTCGTGGGAAATCCATGGTCTACCAAGAACCGGAGAGGCACGTGGCAACAACTGGTCAATGGTTCCAGGATCCTAGTTCTTATGGTTATGGCAACGGTGGTTTCTATGGGTTTCCCGGTGGGGATTACAATTATTATCCTCCTTCGGGACCGGGACCGGGACCGTCGACGCCTTCTCCCCCTCCGGCGCCGCCCTCGCCGCCGAGAGTGTCCACTTGGGATTTCCTCAACTTCTTTGAGTCCTTGGATAACGGGTACCCGGGTTACCTCAACGGGTTCGGGTCGAGAGCGAGTAGTCCCGATTCGAAGGAGGTGAGGGAGAGAGAAGGGATCCCGGAACTAGAAGACGAAACGGAGCATGAAATAGTGAAAGAGGTTCCTTCGAAGGAGAAGAAAAAGGTGGGAGAAGAAAAGGGTTTTGGTAAAGGAAGAGATTTCGGGGAAGGTCCTTCGAATTCGAAGGCAGTGCCGTTGCAACAAGTGAGTAGCAGTGAGGGAAGTTCAAAGACGGTGAGGTTCCATGACAGTGATGAAAATTCACAGATCAAAAGCAGTCCCGAGACTGTTGTTTCTGATGGGTCTCCTGAAACGAAGAAAAGGGTGAGTTTTGAGGCTGAGGTTGATGAAGCTACGGTTACGACGGTGGATGGTGAGTCCTCCATTTTGAGTAGCGTAACCACTTTGTCTGCACATGGCACAAGGGACCTAAGAGAGGTTGTTCAGGAAATTAGAGATGAGTTTGTCACTGCTTCTGATTATGGGAAAGAGGTTGCTTTGCTGCTTGAGGTTTGCAAACCGCCTTATCGACCCAGGGTCGCTGCATTTAGAGGTATCAATGTTATTTAATGTAATGTGATTCGTGTTTTCTCTTCGCAGTTTTGTCTCTTTCTGTCTGGGAATCGTTATACTTTTGTTATGACCACCTATTCGATGGACTTTTTGTTTATCTGAAACTTTAGTTTGTAGTCATTAATGTGTTACTTTTTTGCTCTGCTTTTGCTAATACATGAACCTGTAAAGAAGGAAAGGTGATGTAGATTGGATTACGATCTAATTTGATATTTTTTTGGGATTTTTGGTTTTGTAATCAGGGATTTTATCCTAAATTACAATAAGCTAGTTTTGTTAGAATTGATTAGAATTAGTTTCTTTTGACTATGATTGGGCTTTGTTGGTATATGTAGAGTCCTTCATTGTAAACCTGAAACTGTTTTGGCTTTTGAATAGTAATAATTTCTATTTATCTGAGTTTAGTCAGAGGAGTACTGCATGCTTTAGAGGAGTACTCTACATTTTTTTCTCCACCTCGTTCCCCATCAGTAAGGGATCTTATTTCACTGTAAGAAAAATGTGGAATCTATACAGATATTTGGTACATCAGCAGGAATGTTTAAGCAAGAACCTAGCATCTAAAACACCTTCTCAACCAGTTTACTCTCTGGGTCTTATGTTTTTTCCTTTTTGCTCTTTTGGCTTTGGCATTACGGTTATAACTGCTAGAATAAACCAGAGTCATGCAATTTAATGATCATGTTATTTACACTGGTTTTGTTGTGATGACCTGTGTGTATGTGAACAAACATAATCATAATAACAGAAGATAGCATTGAGAAGAAGGCAAGTTTTTGTAAAACAGTACTCTTAATTTCTTAATTTCTTTTCAATTTTCCACAATAGGCTCGTTGTGATTTGAAAAATATGAGTTCCATGGGCAGAATATTTCTTATGCTCAGTGTTACTAGTTATATTATTAAGATGTGTTTTTGTGGTTTTACTCCCTTTTATAGACAATTACTCATTTTTATTTTGTATTTTTCTTCTCTTCTCCTAAAACAAATAATCTAGTTAGTAGACAGACTGTTGGCTGTACCAGATTGTGTGATAAATTGACAACCAAGTTGAATAATTATCAGGGGAATATGTATTTCATTATGCACCCTTCAGTTTTATACCCCCATACGCCAGTCCCCAGGCTTGTGCTACCAGAAAATGCAGTTGCAGTTTGATTTGTAGGTCAAAGCAAAATTGTAATAAAACAGGGTCAAAGTAAAAATGAGTCCTTCAGATGAATTTTCTACTGCTATGCATGTGTGCATGCATTCTCACACATTCTGGGGATTTTTATTCTCTGTACCATCATTGACAACAAATTCAAAAGATTGATCAACTAAATGTATTGTTATGTGTTTTCATGCAGTTATCTTTTCCAGAATCTTACAGATGGTAGCACCTTCCAGGTTACCATTGCATCCTCTATCTGGACCGCCAATACAATTTTCTTCTAGGGAAATGAAATTGGCTCAAGCATACTGTGGGGAACCTGGGAAAGACAATCCAGAAAATCTTTCATCTACATTGGAGAAACTTTATGCATGGGAAAAGAAATTGTATAAGGAAGTTAAGGTATGAATGTGATTGCTTTGAAGTTACTCCACAATTTAGATTCTTTAAACTGAAATGATTCATGCAGTTGGAAATAGTGAGCTAATCATACTGATTTGCTGGGTTCCCTTTCATACCTTCATGTTGTTGAAAAGTATATAATTTGAAACTTAATTACTCAGTAACATGTATTATTTTATGTCAGATGTGTTCTGCATATTCAGCTTTGTTTTCTATTATATATTGTTTGTATTAATCCACTTGTAGATTGTATCACATACTTTTATTAATGAGTGACTTTAGTCAATATCCTACTTTGTTGATTTCAAACTGTGTTTACATGTTCATAATTTCCCCCTGTTCTCAGGATGAAGAGAGGTTACGTGCTGTTTATGAGAAACAATACAAGAGACTGAAAACATTGGATAATCAAGGAGCTGAATCTAGTAAAATTGATTCTACTAGGGCATCGATAAGAAAGTTGCAAACAAAAATTAATATTTGCATCAGAACTGCTGAAACTATAATGGGAAGGATACATAAATTGAGGGATAATGAATTGCAGCCTCAACTTGCAGCATTGATTAATGGGTATCAAATTGCTTCACTTATTCACCATGTCACTTATTCACTATGCTAATATTTATCTGTCATTGCTTGGTAATTTCTTTTCTCAGAAATTTTAAATTTTGTTTGGTCACTCTAAGTCCCTTCTAAGAATTTGACTGAAATAAGTAACAGTGAAGTATTAATGGTTTTAAATGGACGAGAGCCACTGAAATTTGAAGTTTCTCATCATTGATGGCCATGATTTGATGCCTATTAATTCTGACAATGGTTAATGATGTAATTTATAACTGTCTTTTTTTGGTATAAATTAATTGAGTAAAACCCTGTTCTTGTTTTTCTAAGATGCTTCAATTAACAGTTGTTCCACGCAGTTCAATTGGCTCAATGCTGCTCCTCTGTCAATCAATCTAAGCATGGAAAATCCTTAATGGAATGTTTGAATTTGCAATTTAAAAACCTTGCTGTCACTATTGCTGATATCAGAGCCCTCCTGGTTGCAAGAGGCCAATAATTTTATGGTGAAAAGGAACTTTATGTGCTAAATCAGATATTCCATTGAGGATTTTGTCTAAAAATACAAGATGTATAGAGGAATGGCACTGACCCAAATTTTATCATGGACGGGTTGATGAGAAATAGGCTTCAGTGATTATCTCTCATCAGGTGGGAAGTGGTCGAATTACTTCACCATCATTATTAGTATTATCCTTTTTGGTTTTGGAATGGCTAAATTTAGTTTTTTTACAACACAGTTGAATTTTTTTCTTGAGTAAGAAGTTACAGAGCTATTGATTTGACAAATAGTCTATTTGTCAGCAGATTCATAAGAATGTGGAAGTTCATGCTCAAATGTCACCAGAAACAGTTCCAAGCTATCATGGAGAGTAAAAGTCAATCTCTGAGGATTAACATTGGTCTGCAAAGAGATGATGGTCTGAAGGCCATCTTAGATCTTGAAAAGGAGCTTTTGAATTGGTGCAATCAGTTCAACAATTGGGTTAAGACTCAAAAATCTTATGTCGAGAATTTGAATGAGTGGCTCATCAGGTGCCTTCCTAATGAACCTGAAGAAACAGCTGATGGTATTGTCCCTTTCTCTCCAAGTCGGATTGAGGCTCCACCAGTTTTCATAATTTGTAATGATTGGCATCAAGCAATGACTAGAATTTCAGAAAGAGGAGTGGCGGCTGCCATGCATGAATTTGCTCTAAAACTACATGAATTATGGGAGAGGCAAGATGAGGAGCAACGCCAGAGAATCAAAGCAGAGTATCTCACAAAGGACTTTGAGAAACAGCTTAAAACTTTGCACACGCAAATGGGAGGCACAGAACATGAGCATGATAAAGTTTCAGGAAAAACTGCACTGTCGAAGCTTGCTTCTGATAGTGGCGTTTCCCCACTAGATGATCTAAAGGTGGACTTGGATTCTATGAAGAAGAGATTGCATGAAGAGAGGACCAGGCATAAAGAAGCCATCAAACTTGTTCGGGATGCTGCTTCTAACAGTTTACAAGCTGGTTTGATTCCCATTTTTAAGACATTAGAAAGTTTCACTTCAGAAGTGGTGAAAGCTCATGAGCAAGTTAGGCTTCAAAATGCTGAGGACTCATAGAGATGCGGTCTACTTTGCTTCTTTTGATGTCTTGTGATTGCATTTACTAGTGTGGATTGATTGGGAGGTTTAGAGAGTACGTGGAAGATTTAGAACTAACCACCAGTTTTGCAGCTAGAATTAGTCTTATTCTGTAGGAAAGCACCTCATAAATTATCCTAGAGAGGTTTGCTTGGAACAAGTTTAAGAGACAAAGGGTTTGGGTGCCTAAATGTCACGAGTGGCCATCTTGAATTAAGCTCCTGTAAAACCCAACCTACAGTTAGGTGAAAATTGTACAGAAAAAAAATTCATTTATTGGTTGATTGGTTGATTGGTTGTAGCCTTGTAGGTGATTGTATATGTTGCATATGCCTAGGAGTAGGATCTTATCAGGAGGAAGCAGGGGGTTTTAGTACAAGTTTCGAGAATGATCTAGAGAATTAAAATCTGCTTTAATTTCCCTGCAGTTTTGGCTTCTTTCCTCTTCTCTACTATTCTATTGTGCTGATTCTGCCTAATTCTGAAGCTAAATGGCCGCTCCACATCATTAAATTGTGGTACACATTATTTGAACTGCAAATTCAGTACTTTTTCCTTGAATTCATGGTATGTAATATTAGTGCACTCAGATAAATTATTCCAATTTAAATATTGTCAATGCTCTTAGCATTTTAAGTTAGTCTAATAAATTTCTCCGCTAGTGTTGCGTTCTCTGGTTTCTAGAATGATCATGTGGATCAGTAGTAGATACTCTCCTACGTGGTCTTTGTTTTTACTGTACTTGGTAGTTTTTTTTTTTTTTTTTAATAATAGTTGTTAAAGTAAACCACATGTTTTGAAACTACTATTCATGGTTGGGGATGAAGATGGCGCAATAAAAATAAAAGAAATTTTAAAACTAGTTGATCCGTGGTTATCACATCTTAACCAGGTAGTGATTTTTAATAAATTTTCACTAAAATAATTAAGTGTTGAAAAGATTATGCTAAAAAAGGTGGCGTTTGCAATTTTTTATACCGATTTGGTGCATAAAACTTCAGTTAATTTGATTAGACTTTTTCAATTTCATTTAATTTGAATTTATTTTTAATTTAATAGTAGTTTCATTTAATTTTATATTTGTCATTTTTATATGTACAAAATCTGACATTGAAGCATTTTTCTATCAGGTCATAATAAGATGGCGTATTTTTTAATCCACTTTTTATTATTTATTAAAAATAACTAGTTGTGTGAATTTTGTTCCTAATTTAATAATTTTTATTTTTAACTTTTATAATTTTTGATAAAATTTAACTAATAAATAAGAATGTATTAAAAAATAAAGAATATATGCTCTTAATAATCTTCTATTTCGAATAACCTTATAAAAAATATATGAAATATCTAATGAATAAAGATCTTATTAAAGCATAGCTAAAATGTATTTCAAATAGCCAGAATAGTTTTAAATAAATATCAGTAATAAATAAAAATTTACAAGATTATGAATTCATGATCGGTATGTTACCAACTAAAATCCGCATCCTACCTTTTTCTTGTCTGAAAACCGCATCCTACCTATGAATTTTTTTTAGTCACATTGGGCTGTTGCCTATGCACTGGGCTTTGGCCCACGATTACAAAACTCCAGTAGTGCCGGCGACCATTAGACAATTATATAAATTATTGACAAAAAAAGAAGAAGAAAAGACAATGATATAAATTACATGCAAATGGTAAACAAAGAATTATATGTAATTTTTTTAAAACTATTAATTAGTAGTTTTTAATTTTCATATATAACTACATTTTATATTATAAAAAAATACAGTGTCTAACAGTGGTGGAAGTTGGAATGTGATGGTGGTGGCGGTAAAGAAAGCTAGGTGGCAATTGAGTGTTTTAAGTCGTGATAGCATTTAATATTGTAGTTAAGAAAAAGATTTTAATTAATTTATTTGAATCAATATAAGAATTTGTAAAGATGAAATAAAAGTATAGGAAGAATTAAATAATTTAATTAAAAAGTGGAATAAATAAAAGTTAAAAATGAAATAATTATTTAATTAATAAAATAAGTTAGACACTAATTCAAAAATCTTGGCAAGGCTGCTCAAAATCCCCTCTACTATGACGACTAGCGAGCGGCGGTGTAGTTTTCAACGAATACCTCTATTTTGACTTTTCAAGGCGTATTAACAACGGACGATAACGACAAGTGAATGATGTTATCAGCCATGATACAACAAATGGGCCAGGCCACGCAATCAATCCAATCCATATCACGCGTTGAACTAAAGAGCCACAAATTTCTACATACACCTCACCTACATGCGATTAACACCTTCAAAAGCTTAATCTGTTTATTCCTAATTATCACTGTATTTTAAAATCCCATTTTGCATCTATAGATTGAAACCCGTTTAATTATTAAACACCAAATTTACAAATAGAAAAATGTAAAAAAGAGTTGTTGTTGTGACAAGAATGACCGAATGAGATTCCGCCACGTAAGCGGGCGTACCAACGTGGGGAGAGTAGATTCGCTACAGCGTACGCGAGCGAGTAAAAAAGTCCAAAATATCAAAGAAACGATCGCTCACGTGTCTTCAGGGTTTCTGTTTCTACTCCTACAAAACCCCCCCCCCCTTCCCTTATCGTCTTCGAAACCCAAAGTTTTCAAAGAGTTTTCAGTGCAACGATGGCGAGTAGGGTTTCGATTTGCTTCCTCTTCGTTTTCGCTTTCTCTCTCCTTTTGCTGTTTCCTTCTCAGATCTCGGCTGATGAATCGGAGTCCAAGGAATTCGTGCTCACATTGGATCACTCCAATTTCTCCGACACTGTCAGCAAGCACAATTTCATCGTCGTCGAGTTCTACGCACCTTGGTATATTTCGATTCCGACATTTTTTTTTCTGCTCTTTTTGAAGCTGACCTGATCTGTCATTTTTACTCTGACTTTGTTGTAGATCTTGCTTTTGCTAATTTCTTGTTAGAATCTCGTATTTAACTCTGATTTTGGTATTTTTTAAACTTTTAATGCGGGTTTTTAATTCGATTCAACGATTAGCTTGATCCTCTGCTGGAATTTCTTTTTTTGTTATAGCTGATGAGTTTACTGTATTTTGTCTGTGTCCCGTGACCGAATGTCAAAAACGATTTCATGCAGACAAATTGCCATCATTAATAATGCATTCCGATTTTCGTGTAATTTTTCTTTATTTCTTTCAGGTGTGGCCACTGTAAGAAGCTTGCTCCGGAGGTAATTTTATCACCTTTAGTTTTATTGTTTTCTCAAGTCCACCTGGTTTGTGCATGCATTACAAATGCTGATTTTCTAGCGTTTTATTTCTGCAGTTTGAAAAGGCTGCTTCTATCTTGAGTAGTCATGATCCTCCGGTTGTTTTGGCTAAAATTGATGCCAATGATGAGAAGAACAGAGACCTTACATCACAATATGAAGTTAGAGGATACCCGACCCTTAAGATTATGAGAAATGGGGGAAAGAATGTTCAAGAATACAAAGGTCCCCGTGAAGCAGATGGCATTGTTGACTATTTGAAGAAACAAAGTGGTCCTGCTTCATCTGAAATTAAATCTGCTGATGATGCTGCTGCTCTTATTGGTGTAAATAAAGTTGCTATTGTAAGTGACTAGCCATTTCATTTTTGCTTTATTTTAAGTCACATTGGCCTGTACTGATATTTTCCCATGTTTTCAGGTTGGAGTTTTTCCTAAATTTTCTGGGGAGGAGTTTAATAACTTTACCGCCTTAGCAGAGAAGTTCCGTGCTGATTATGACTTTGGTCACACTCTGGATGCCAAACACCTTCCAAGAGGAGAATCATCAGTGACTGGGCCCTTGGTTAGGTTATTCAAGCCATTTGACGAACTTTTTGTTGATTTCCAGGTAGTGTTGATTTCTGTGGATTCATTGTTTCATATTTACTTATTTGGGTGTTTTTATTTTATTTGGTTACGTATACCTGTCTCATTCTCATGCTTGTAGATTTTCCATGTGGATGCTCTGGAGAAATTTGTTGAAGAATCTAGCGTCCCTGTTGTAACTTTCTTCAACAATGATCCAAGCAATCACCCTTTTGTTGTCAAATTCTTCAACAGCCCCCTTGCAAAGGTAATATGCTAGCTTGAATTCAATTTTGTTACTTCAATGGAGGTTGTCGTAACCATATTGTTTACTATATCTGTTATCGAATCTCACCTATTACTGTCCTCCACGTGAGTTTACCATTCTGAACTTCATAGCATTTCCCAAAATTTAGATGCTTTTACCGCATTTCCTGTTCCAAAACAGTTATTATGTGCACAAGAAACCTAAATTTAGGTTGTGATATTGGTAGGCAATGTTGTTTATCAACTTCACTGCTGAAGGTGCTGAATCTTTCAAATCAAAGTATCATGAAGCTGCTGAGCAATTTAGACAACATGGCGTAAACTTTCTCCTGGGAGATGTTGAGGCTAGTCAAGGTGCTTTCCAGGTTTGTATCAAATTATGTAACATTGTGTAGTTATTCTTTGCTTATGCCAATATTTGACATTGTGTATGACTTGACTTGGCAGTATTTTGGACTGAAGGAAGAACAAGTACCTCTAATTATCATACAACATAACGATGGGAAGAAATTTTTTAAACCCAATTTGGAACCTGAAAACATTTCAACTTGGTTGAAGGCATACAAGGTTTTTTTTATTTCTCTTGATAGCTTACTGCTCAAGCCTGATTTAATTTGGTATCTTATTGGTAGTGGTTAGGATATATTAGTTTGCTAAACTCTTTAATCTTATAATATCTTATTTTGACTTACTTATCTTGAACGTTGTAATTTTTATCATTTTTTCTGAACGTTTCAGGATGGAAATATTGCACCATATGTGAAGTCTGAACCTATTCCCGAAACCAACAATGAACCTGTTAAAGTGGTAGTTGGGGACAATCTGCAGGAGATTGTTTTCAACTCTGGGAAAAATGGTATGCTTTTCCGTTCACCATTTGGTTTTAGCCCATGAATTGTTAGACCGTTTTTGGCATTCACTGTGCTCTAATTAATAAAATATATCACGATTCTAAAATATTTTTGTTCCTTTTATGTGAAAAGGCATTACAGTCCAACTGAGATTATTAGATAATGAATATGTCCATGGTTCTTGTGATGCAACCATTATAGCTGATAAATTTGATTTACTGCATTTCGTGGCCAAAAATTCCCTTTCTCAATGAATTTTTAGTGCTGTGAATCTGTTGCTATTTTCACTGGTTGCAAAGTAGAAAAGAAAAGACTTTATCTTTTTAATAAAAAAATTTGTTAAAAAACCTTAAAGGAGGGTCTCTTAGTTTATGAAATTAATAGAAAGTTTAACAAAAGTTGATCATTATTCCCTCAATGCTCTGTCTTAATTTGTATTGGCTTGTGATGATACTGGTTCTAGGAATTGAAGTTCTATTGACTTTATGTAGCTAGGTGATTGTGCTGACCTCATTTACCTTGTGTATTTTGTGAACCTTGGTACATGGTCTTAAAGTACTGATCAGTTATATTGTTCAGAAATTTTATTTATTATATTTATTCTTGTGTACAAAATTAAACCGCTGATAGTTGTCTAAGCCCCTAATTTCTTCAGAAGACATGCACTTTTGATACTCTCGTGTATGATGAATCTGTGATCATGAAAAGGCAGCATGAATTATATGTGCAAAGCAATGTGTCCTTTTGATACCATTATGTATCTGCGATTATATATGGCAGTAATTGTACACAAAGTAGAATCTCTCATACTTGTGTTAATTAGTGGTTTGCCTTGATCATTCCAAGTTAGAATAATATAACTGCTAAGACAAATCTTGCAGTTTTGCTGGAGTTTTATGCTCCTTGGTGTGGTCATTGCAAACAGTTGGCTCCAATATTGGAGGAAGTTGCTGTCTCATATCAAAGTGATGCTGATGTTGTTATTGCAAAACTGGTAAGAAATGTATCTAGTTTGCAGCTTTGATTATTATGCTATTATATTTCAGCTTTGACAGCTATACTGAAAGCCATGTGGTACAAAAACTTGGACTTTATTTGTGCAGACTTTAATCGATACATTTTAATGAAATTATCATGTTATATTTTTTTTGCTAAATTTTAATCTGCACTTGTTTGTGTCACTTTCCAGGATGCGACTGCCAATGATATCCCAAGTGAAACCTTTGATGTCCAAGGTTATCCAACTCTGTACTTCAGGTCAGCAAGTGGAAAGCTATCACAATATGATGGTAACAGGACCAAGGAAGACATTATAGAATTCATTGAAAAGAACCGGGATAAACCTGCTCAACAAGAACAAGGAAAAGATGAGCAAGAAAAAGGAAAGGATGAGCTTTGAGTGGTAAGGTCTGTATATCATTAGTTTCTCATTTTCATTGGATTGCTACAAAATCTCTCTTCGGAACTTTGCTGTTCTCATTTTGATTCAGTCTCATCCTTTGCAGGAAAGGAGTTTCCTCTCCGAGGATTTAGACAAACTAAGTTACATGTGGGGTGTACAACTCTTTGTATCTCAGAATCAACAATTAGTGAATCTTAGTGCCGATCTATCCTCATTTACCTACCTTTAATCTTATCGGGTTCCTTTTATGTATGTTTTACTGAATAAAATGGGAGTTTTTGTTTAGCGGGTTAGAGTTTAGTACTGGAGAAATTCTGGCTGTAAAAAACCGTGGATCCGGGTTAAATTAATAGATGATGCTTCTAGATCAATAGGTTCCAGTATCTCTATATATCCTATAACTCTTATTATAGTTCCCAAAAATAAGAATGTTTCAATTGGTGGTTAGATAAATCAATTAAACAATGCATATGGTTCAGAGGCGTTGCTTAATAATAGTTGCTTCATATTTCTCCCCTTCTTTTTGCACGGCCGCATGATTCCCAAATCAAGTGATGCATGTTACTGGACCCTGTATTCCCAGTACTTAATTTAATCCAACAATCAGAACAGAACAATTTTCGATTGCCCATAACTCATAAGCTAAGATATATGACATTTCATTAAGAAAGTTGACGTTATAAGACCGACTCTGAGGAGTTACCTATGGATCTTTAATAGGGTGTCCCTCTTTTTTATGTTCTATACAGCGCTGTGCTTAGGGTTCATTTTTTTGTGAGCGTAAGCGGAAGATTGCAAGATAATATAATCCAGAAAGCTGGAATCTATTTATTGAATCTCATACGGCAAAATTAATATTGTTCAGGGAGACCAAAGATCATATGTTTCATTAAAGCAATTTATTGTAGGACAAAAATGAATTGCAATAGCAGCCATTTTGTGAATACTATTGTTGTAACGTTAAGGCAAGGCTATTTTCTTTTCCACTCAATTAAATTCTTTCATTTTTCATGTTTATATATATCTAAAAGATGGGAATAGATATAAAGATCTTCCGCAATATATTATTTTATTTTACACATAATTTTATCATTATTTAACTACAATAACTTATGTTTTGTATCTTGCTTAAAAAATTTGAAGTATCCATATATTATATGAAACATTTGTTAGTTAAAATAATTATATATGTCAAATTTAAATGTAATGACCAATACCACCTTACCAAAATTTTGATAGAAGTTAATTTTATTATTTGATAGACTTTGATTTTATATTAAAAAATTATCTCTAACTCACTTTTAAAAGTTAATTCATAAGAAGAGACTTATTCAACCTTTGTTAAAAGTATTTTATCTCTATTTCTAGTTATGTAAGACATCTTAATACTAAATTCTAATAGAAGTTCAACCAATTTTTTTTTAATTATATAATGTTTTCCTTTTTATAATCAGTGATAATATTCGTACATATATTATATTTAGAAATTTATACGTGCATACAAAATATATATACACCAAGTCTAAATCTTTGAAGATCCTAACTACATTATTGGTTTTTCCCTTTCAAATGATTTATCTCTATTTTTTTTTCACTAAAAGGATAATTTTCTGTAAACGTAGAGAATCTCACTTGTTATCTTAGGATTTCATTGTAAATGAAGGCTTCATATGTAATTTTTTTTTTTTTAAAAATGTTATAAATACACAAACGTGGAAAAGAGGGTCATCCCAACTCATCCAAAGATCGTCAAAAGTGGGTTGGCTCGCTTAACCTTAATTTTTCAAAGCAGACTTAAAATCCTGGCGGACTAGTTTGTAAAAAAGTAAATCAAAATGGGTTAATTGGGCAATGACTTGTCTAATTAAAAAAAAAGTCATAAAATTTATTAAAATATTGAAATAATACATTTTAATAGTAATTATTAATTAAGTAATAAATAAATAAATGTTAATTTCTTGAAAGAAAAAAATAAGCATGACGAGTCAACCCATCATTGGTTCTTATTTTAGTAAGTTGAAGCGGCGGGGTTATAAGTGTGGAAACCTAGTCCATCTTAGTTTGTTGGGTAAGATTGCTTTTACTACTTCTAAAAAATTTGGTTGATATGTTTAAAGAAATTGAGAATATTTTTATGAGTATGGTTAAATTTGTTCCTTTACGAAGTTTTTGGATTCTTATTTCTCCAATAGAAATAATCTATGAAAAACATAGTTAAGTTTTCTTTTGAAAATGCTAATTTTTTAAAGTAATTTTTTTAAATATTTATATCAAAGATAATGTGATGACTCTAAACGTTGATAGGTATGCTTGAGATAATCTTAAAATTGATGATTTTGGTGAATTAATTCAATGTTTTTATAGCAATTGACTTTGTGGCTTTCATACGTATATTACAAATTGTGACATTTTTATAAAAAAAAATTTGTTATGTTTAATGACTTGACTTTAGTTTGGAGTAAAAATTATAGAATGATTCATTTAATTAATGATAATGGTGATATTTTTTATAAGTACGGGCGTTATTATTAGGCTATTAGACAGGTTTAAAGTTTCTTTTGTTGAAATTAATATATTCTCAATGATAATACTTAAAAAAAATTACTATATTAATTCTTTAGTTAATTTTTTGGTGTGTTTAAATAGATAAGTTTGTATTCTCAAATACTTTAGTACTCATTCTGATTTTTTTTATAAGAAATAAAATAGAACATTTTATTTTTATTACAAGAAACAAATGATAGATTTAAGATGTATTAATTGTTAAATTTTTTTTATACCATTCTTTTATCAGTATTATTAAATATACAAATTATTAACTACATTATTTAATATTATAGATATTTTTAGAATAAAATTTATATTTATAAAAAACATAACATACTTAATTATTTTCCTTGATCTGATAATTTAGTCTTTTGTTTCTTATAAAAAGGATCAAAAGGAGTAATAAATAATTGGCTGTCATTAATATATGTTTAATCTTATTTATTAAGTCTTAACATCTCATTTGCTTTCACTTCTAATAAAAAATACTTCAATTCTTAAAAAAAATTTAAAAAAATATTCTCCTATCAAACACTTTTCAAATAAAAGGTAGAACAACCCTAAGTAGGATTATCTCATTTGAATCTTTTACGTTCACATTTACATTTGACTTACTACTTAAGTGTTAAAATATTTATTTATAGGTTTACCCCTTTTAATATCATTATCAAAGAATAAAATTATTAAGAAAGATTGAGATTTATGTCTAAAGAGGATTTGGATAATAACAAAAGAATTTATGTGATTAACCAAGATTAATCTACCTTAAATGTGCATAAGTGCTGGAGCAATACTTTTGGATGAAAATTTATTGAGATGCGAATAAATTATATTTTTTATATTTGATATTTTTTTAGTTTTCAAAATATGTTGCAAATTTAAGCACAAAATTTATAATAATAGTTATAAATAACCTATCCTATAAACAAAGAATCACAAGAAAAACTTCAATTTAAATGTTTATTTTTGTTAAATTTTGATAAAAAAAAAATAATTTTGAAATATTAAACGTGATTATAAAATATTTTAAATTTTATATTAAAACAAATTAATAATGAGATGTAACCTGAACCAACACTAAGTCAATTCTGTCTATGTCGTTTATTCTCAATCCCAACTCCCCTAATTGGCAGAAGGGCTTTCAACAGCAATGCCCATATTGCTAAGCAATTATCAACTTGTGAAAGACACGTGGTGATTTATCACTGATAGATTATCTCGATTCTGTGAAACTTTAAAATTTTATATATATATAAAAAAAAGATACAAAAAACAAAAAGGAAGTCAAAAGTGAATCAGTAGACAGAAGCTAAAATAAGTAGAGTTTTATGTGCAATTATCTAAATTGTTTTAAACAATCATTGAAATCTTTTTTTTGTCTTAAAACAATCATTGTAATTTGATAACATTGGGAGAAAAAGAACAAAATTTGCAGTATCTAATAATTTAATGTGTATTAAAGATTTTGAGTAAATATTTTTCATTATATCCTAGCACTGCACTCATATTTTTAGCTTAGATAGATTTTACAAGAATATGTTAAAATATTGAAATTATAAGAAAGATACACATAATTAATTAGTATGCAATCTTAATAAAATAAACTAAAACAAAATGGATAATAATTTAAAAAATAAAAATGTCATATATTTTTATTGATTGACTTTACTACTAAGAAAGTATTGAATATCTTGTAAATAGTGTGTTAACCGCATTTAAAAGTTACGATTTTTGCATTTTTACTTTGGCAAATTTTTTTTAAAACAAAAAATGCACTAGTCACTTACTTCAAAGAATTCTTATTTACGTAAAAAAAAACTTCAATTTAATCTTTTGCAATACTATTTGATATTTTTACTGTGTCTTTGAAGCCACATGTATAATAAGAATATATGTATAGTAAATTTTTATTAAAAATTACATAAATTATTAACTTAATGTATTAATAACATTAAATATTATAATTTAGTAAAAATATTATTTTTTATTGTATATATTTAAATACACGTTAAACAAATTATAGAAAAAATAGTCTAATCTAATTATGCTAGTATTTTAAAAGAATCCAATCGATAGTTTGCTTCAAAATAAAATAAAATATTAAAAATTGAGTGTTGTTAATTAGAATTTATATTTTCTGCTTAAAAACTTATGATACAACTCACAAAAGTAAATCAGGAATTACGTACAGGCCGAATCACTGCAACTCAAAATTTTTAATAATTATATTTTTACACTTATATTTTTTATATTTATATTCATTTTTATATTTTCTTGTTTTTATTACATATTTTATTTTTTAATCACAATTTTTATTTTTTTCTACTTACTTCAAACCCATTTATTTCGTATAAAAATATATAAAAAAAATACTAATCAGTGTTGTAAACACACTGGTTAAAAAATGAAAAATAAAAATATTTTATTTAAAACCTAAAAGCACGCCAATTCTATACTTGTCTAATATATTTGAATATAATTTTTAATAAAAAAATTATATATTAACCAGAAAACGTAACAAGACATTAAAAATAAAAGGATTAAATATTTTTTTAGGATTGAGATCCGACCCGATCTGTCACTGACAACGTTGATTTTACTTCTTGCCATCAAATTAGTCAGTTCTGGTCTCTTGCGTATATTGAGAGCAAAGCATGAACAAGTAACATGTCAGTGTTTTTTTTCCTTTTGAAAGAAGCAGTTGAAGGATTTAGCACGACCCTATACTGACTTGTGTTTCACTGCCCCAGAAAGTGGAAATCCACCCTTACCTAAATCGTCTCTAAGTGACAAGTTGGCAATGACATGCAACATATGCGGTGAGGCATAAAGTAAATAATTATATATATACATGGATTAATTTGAGTGGTAGTAATTGTGAAGAACATTAGTACGCACTGAGATAATTTCATTAAGCTCCAAAAGTTGATCGGAGATACCCATAATTAAGATCATAATAATAAACTATATAATATGCATCAAGCACTCTATAGTGTCATTTTTTTTTACACCACCGCCAACCCTTTGATTTTGGGTCTTGATCTTTCTTGAGGCTCAGGAGACATGGCCTTTCTTTTGCTAATACTGTTATTGTTATTATTACTGTTATTGTTGGTGTGGATGAGATTGTCATTGTTCGAATCTATGGAACTGTTCGCAGATTCTTGTTGACAAGAATCATCAAGTGATTTCAGAAAATACGGCTGAAGCTTGTCCAAATCCGATAACTGAAGAGGCTTCAACAGAAACTCCTCAGCCCCTCCTTCCAAGCACCTATCAACAAATTAATGAAGTTATCAATTGAATGATGCTGCATGCACTGCTGAAGCGTGTAATAATCGATGCATTTTTCCTTTAATTTTCTGTTTTCTACTAATGTATCAAAGTGATGATGCATTTCGATTATGAAATTTCCAAGTTCTTTTAATTCAGGTGAAGCTGATTTTGGTAAATCTTAATGATCAAAATACTTTTTCTTTTTCAGGAAGAAGTCTTCGGATAAATAAGGGATAAAGGGGAAAGTAAATTATAATCCACTTTTCCCTAGAAAAGAAAAGAAAATTTGAGAGCCTGTTTATTTCGATTTTTAAATCACAAAAAATACTTATTTTTTATTTCTTAATCAACTTAAAAAATGTAAATAAAAGCAATGAAATTTTTTTATTGCTTTAATTATTTTTAAATAAACTATTTGAAATAAATAAAATAAAAGTGGCATTTTTATGATTAAAAATAAAAAAAAAATCTTAACTAAACGCCCTTCTAACATTTTCAGCAATGAAGAAAGGATGGAAAACTTACATGCTGATTCTGGAAGGTTCATTTTCTGATGACATAATCACGACTGGAACATCTTTCCAAGAAGATCCCTGCAGCTGTAAGCAATGTCAAAGGAAGAAAGAAAGATAAAAAAAAGAAAAGATAAAGCAAAAGCAAACTTAGATCCTGAAATCTGGAACTTTTCCTTTTTCTTTTCCCTTTCATTTTACTGAAAATTGCAGTGTTACTCGTTAAAAAAAGTTGTAATCCAGAATAAAAAACAAAACCATGTTCAAGTAAAAATTAAGTGGTTCTGCAAATGAATGATCAGATTATAATTTTCAACTCTTGATTGAAGGAGAAGGGAATGTTTGGCATCTTTTTTAGTATATAGGAGTACATGCTATGCTATTCAAGTTAAAAAAGACAGAGGGAATTTCGGGAATGTGTCGGGGAATAAGAGTTGTGTTTTGACCTTGACTCGTTTAAGTAAATCATAGCCACTCATCCCTGGCATGCAATAGTCTGTCATGATCAAATTCACTTTGATTCCCTGCAGTTCAAAAGATGCAACAGAAAGTACATGTTACTATTTGGTATTAATTTGGAGTATCTCACCCCCACTATAACTATATATTACAGTAATTTTATATGATAAAAGTTAGCGGAGGGAAATGACCACGATGAGGTAGCAATAACCAAATTGAATGCTCAATACTAAAACCTTTCTCTACCCTTTTTTCAAAAGAGAGATTTAAAGAAAACTAAAGACAAGGGTAGATACGATTCTAGGGGCGTGGCCATGGTGAATCAAAACAACAATTAGGAGTACGTACGCAATGAAAAAGTTTCCACTTTTCTACAATTCATCAACCACAAGTGCAATATATTACGAAAGGCTTTTGTTCAAAGTTGGTACGAACGAATGTGGTTAAATAGTATTGGTAAAATAAAAATTTAAAAAATGTAAATATAAAGATATTTGACACAAATCAGTCACGATCACAATTTTCTTCAGTTAGCTGTTTTCATCATTAAATTGTATGATTCTTCTTCTTCTTCTTCTTTCCTGATATGATCAAATGCTTGGCGATTAAAATGCATAACTAAGATAATTATGCTATGTCATGTTAAGATCCATATATATCACAGTGCATTTTGATACCTAATATGTATGCGCGTGACCTCAATGTATAGAAGTGATGATGAAAAGGAAATGGGAAACTTGATAGATTTTATGGTTCTTACGATATTTGCCTTCCTAACGAATACTCTACGCGATTCCACAAGAATTCCATGTTCTTTACATTACCGACAATTCCAGAAAGCTCCTCTTGATTACTATTTATGTATCTTGTTAAAGGTAATTTTAGGAGAAACATATTTCCATATCCCATCTTAATGTACCCCTTAAGCATCACTGCGTGTCTTTACATCGCTTATACTTGAACAAAAAAGAAAAAAATAATAACAGAAGAAACGTAGGCATCATTTCAGCAATTGGAATATTCTGTTATTGAAGGAAAAAAGCGCTCAAGTAAAAGAAATAATTAATGCTGTACAACAATGAAATGAATGCCATTTAGAAGTAACCGGTCTAGACTAGCTTGTTTCGAAAACAGTAAATTGATACAAGAAAATTAAACATATATGAGAACTTCTTCAATGGCTTGGCTCAAATGTAGCACATTTAAAACGGTTGAGGAGGAAAAAAGAAGAATAAGATTATTACCTCTTGCTGTAATGGTTGAGCTGGAGGAGAGGCTGGTAATGATTCTAAAGATGTTGAGGAAGTATCATCGAGGCCATCAATTAGACCAAGATATTTCAAAGCCTTATCTCCAGAGTCAACACAAGTAACTGCTTAACAAATAATCACACACACACATATTTAACCACAAAACCATACATCAAATTAACAACACTAAATCCTCAGATAATTGAGATGGTACGGAACTAATTAACATTTTGAGGCCAGGGAAGAAGAAAAAATAAATTAAGTGTATATTGTACCTACCTTTGCATGAGGAACCTCTGAGGAGCCTCTCCAAAAGCTTCATATCTATGACACTGTCGTCCACTGCCAACACATGAAAATGTTGCTGCGGCTGTTGCAGCAGTTTTTGTTGTTGTGGTTGTAGCTGTAGTTTTCTGGTGTCCACAATCTCCATAGCTGATGAACGCTCTTGTTGATCTGTGTTGTCTTGCTAGCAAAATATATATATATATATATATATATATATATATATATATATATATATAACTGGTTAATATATATATATATATCAGTAATTCAGTGTCACGCCCGGGGAGAGGGAGAGAGAGAGAGAGATAATGGGAATGGGAATGGGAATGGGAAGGAGAGGTGGAATGTAATTATCCCATAGCTTTATTTATTTTTTTCTTTTTTAGTTTTTGTAATTTTCTAATAGTGGGTGCATGAGAGAAAAAACTGTGGCGGCACAGTGGCATGGATGTGTTGTTGTTTTTGTGTGTTTCATGCTGAGATCTTCTCCCTAGATTCTCTCTACCGCATTGGTACAACCACTACACATAAACTTTCTCTCTCCTTCCCCTTTCAATTGGATTTTATTTGATTGCTAAGGAAAAAACGCAAGATCTTTGTTCCCATTCGGTCATCATGATGATGGAAAGCGGGTTGAATTTGGGTGTGGATAGCATTGGCTTATTCTAATTATGTGCATCACTTTGAAAATTAAAGCAACCTTCTTTCCTAACTAATTAAACCGCTATTACTTTCGTCTTAATTTTCTCAACTACATATATTAATTTTCCTGTGGCAATGAGTGGGCTTTATTTTGTTCGCTTTTACCTTATTTTAATACTCTTTCTTGTCAACCTACTTTTGTTTATTTTGCCATTGTAAATTACACAGTGCTGTGTGTTAAATCTTAAGTGCATGCATTGGGTAAGATAATTTAGGAGACTTTCTCCAACAAACAGATAATCTTACCTCAGCCTACTTTAGCCTAACATTTCGCTGGGGAATGTAGGATATGACCCCTATAAGTAGGATTATTTTATTACAATCATTTTGTTATAAAAAGAAAGTGGACCCATTTTTTTCACTAAAACTAAAGTTCACAGAAATTAAGTTCATTTGCGAAAATTTTCCACTCATCATTTCATGCAACCCAAATTATATTGGACCACTGCTCTCTTTTTTTATCGTCAATTTTGGTACTGAATATTTTTGTGCGTCTTTTTCTCATAAAAAGCGAGGAAATTGTATTATTGATGTAATATATATATTCACATGCTCAACCCCATCAACTAGTTATACATGGCAAACTCATTCTGTCGGGCACAAAATATTTAATAAATTATAAGAAATAAGACCTTCGAATTTAACTTGAATTAAAAAACAATTAATAATTGCAGGTCAATTAAGATTCTATGAACTAGTATTCCTAGTAGCTTCAACCTATATGTGATTATTGTGATATTTAAGTTTTTTTTATATATATATATATATTTGAATTTGATCTTACTAGTATGATAGCCTAATCTAATTAATATTGTTAGCTACTTTGCACCCAAATTTACGCAAACAACACTAACAAGATCTTTATGAAATCCCACCGAATATCACAAAATAGATGTGTGCTTACCTGAAATTGGACGCAATGTTGACATCGCCCAAGACCTGATCCAAAAATTTGTTTGCAGTCAATTCCATTTTAATTTGGGAAGAGTAAGAACATGGAATAAATCTCTAATCCCTTTAGTTGTTCACTTTGGGTAAACAAGTCACGTCACACAATCCAACAAGATTATTAGAATTTTCAGAATTGAAAATCTAGGGAAGAAAACAGAAGTGAAAAATAATAGAGGGACCACCATGCATACAAGAATGTCATGGAATGCATATTACATTAATACAAAGGTTACCATTAATGTTGGTATAATAAATAGTAAAGGGGACAAGGGATAAATAAAAGGCTAGGAATTGGGACCAAAAAGGGGGTCCCACATAGCAAATTTGAAATCTTAAGTGGGTCCAATGAAATATAATCTTTTGTGGGGTCCCAACCCCATTCCATTCTTGTGATATAGATTTCCCAATATTTGGAATCTGTTCCCATCGAGGGTGTCCAAAGCAGAAAGTTTTTCCTTTAGGGCTCAGTCAGTTTGTTCAAAATCCTTTTTTCACACTTGAGTGCGGGACCCAATTGTTGTCTGCCACGTGTTCGTTCCTTTCATGTGTAGACCTAATTATCGTCTGACATTGGGGACAGATTTCTAACGTGGTTGCACATGAACCGTCAGATCACATCACTATCATCCACAATCATTTTACTCGGTTTCCTTATTCTTACTTTCCCTCAACCCTTGTATTTCTTTCTGCTAATTTTTCTTCTCTTTTTCCTTTTTGTTTCTTGTTTTAATCTTTTAGACAATCCAATTAGCGTGTTTCTAAAGGACTCTATGCTCTGCCAACACACGCCACGCAAAATAATGAATTAAATGACTAAATTAAGAAAAGGCCAAAAAACATAAATTAACTAAGAAAGCATACAAAATTCATCTAACAAAGAATCTTCTAGACGCAATTTATGACGCATATATTTTCCTGCATCTATAAACGATTACAAAGTTATTTTAATTTATGACTTTGCAGCTTGCTTAAACTTTCTCTACAGTCTCTGTAATGGTAAATTTAAGTTTATGTTATGGTCTTTCCTAGTGGAGGGAAACGTATTCCTGTGCATCCTTTAAACCCTGCAGCTTGCTTAAACAGTCTCTATAGTCTGTAATGGCAATTTTGTACTATATATGGTCTTTTCTAGTGGAGGAGAACTATGTTCTGAGATTGGGGGATACAGGATATACAATGGGGGTGATGATTAATCATATATAGTTTGTGGAAAATCCGTTGTAAGGTTAGATGTAGGTTTCAATTTGGGTGATGTGCAATTTTTTTTTTCTTGTACTGGAATTTGAACACCTTTTCTCCTTAAAAGAGTACGTAATATATATTTTTTCATATACATACATATATTTACCCCACTCACTTTTTCACTTTTTGTATGAAAAAATTTCTCTCACTAATATTTAACTAAAATTCAATTATTTTATCATTTAATATGGGTGATAAAATTATTCATATATCCATGATCTAACTGATTTAACTATATCAGACTTCCTTTCAATTAGACCCATTATTTTATAAAAATTAAATTGATTGATAGATAAAAATGATCCCATTTTCATTTTTTTAATTAATCGATTACTAAATTATTAAAAATATATTAGGTAGTTAATTCTTCTTCATGTTCAAAAACTTATCTTTAAATGTTATTTGTGGCCTTGAGAGTATGTATTTCTTGTTTCTGTTTTAACATATGGATAATTGTATTTTAAACGTGTCCGAAATAATAATGATATTATTATTATTATTAATAAAGTGCATTATCTTTTTTATTAGGTTTAGAGGCAAAAGAGTTTAACGAGAGAGAAAGACAATTTAGAAAAAAAAACAATGACTTATATTTTACTCATCTATTATTATCTAACTCTAATTTATCCAAAGCATCTCTTTAACACCCTACATATATCAGTCAAACTAATCTAAACAGTAGAATACTAACATACGAAACCTATTATTTTAAGTATTTTTTGCCTTACGACATCAGATTTTTTAGATCTTAAAGTTTATTTGAAGATTTTTTGAACTTGTTTCGAGGTTATTGAAACTAAATTCCTTCGAGAGTAATTATTGATATAAATGTGAATGTTCATTCTCATGATTGTTAATTTTCTATATTACTGATGTTTAATTTTTTATTGAGCTCAACCTCGTCGTGTAAACTATATAGTCAAATTAACTTAATAAAATAAGGTTATGTTTGATTGTTGTTATATAAAGTTAGTAACGTTCTTTCAAATACTTTGGGGCACTTGAAGTGAATCGTTAGAATGGTCTAGAATTGCATATTCCTTGGAGGAGCAATCATGCATTTTCTCTTCGAGGAAGAATTGTATAAGTTAATTATATTTAAGGCTCCAATTAAGGTGGTGGAGATTCTTATTAGTTCGTAGCGCTCTTCCTTGGGAGGAAATCGAACAATATAGCTTGGCTCAAACGTGATGCGTGTGCCGGCAGAAGAAAAATGCAGAGGACAACTACAACTATTTAATTTTAGCCTTTTGGGGAAAAGGTTTTGGTGGAGACTCAAAGTTAGAGATGCTTTATCGTCTATAATTTTAAACTTGAGATATGGAAATAGCGTTTCAAGCATGTTGTAATTTTTTTTCCAACTAATATCATTAAGACTAGAGTCAATAAAATAGGTATGAGCCAGCATGAAAATATCTATATATAAAAAATAAGTGTTCGAATATTATAAATGAAAGTTTGAATAAATATAAGTTTTTTTTAGCCCAGTTTGTTTAGGTCTGAATTTATGCAGGCTTTGAATATCTACTACTTAATTACATTATTTAAAAAAAAATATGTAATATTGATTTTAAATTAAAATTAATATTAGAATGTACTAACATGATTAATATTTGATTTTATGTTATGATCATGAAAATGATGATAATGATAGTAAGACAATTGTAATTAAAGATAAAAAGTTTTCTTAAAGAAGCTTAAATAGTTGAGAGACTAATTAGAATATTAGATTGTTTATTTTAATTTTGTTGGATGGAATGATTTGATGATATTTTTTTGTTTTAAATTTGTTGGATAAATAGTTATATTTAGATTTTAATATTTTAAAAATATTGTTAATTCAATTTTTTTAATCTTTAATCCATATTAACATAATTTAAAAAAAAATTGTAAAGTGGAATATTCGCATAAACTCTTCAAAGGGCGGACTTGGATTATATTTTAAAATTTTAAATTGTTTCAAATATTTTAGCCTAACTCACATTAGTCCTCTACTTAACTGTGGGTTAGGTAAGGTAATTTGAATGACAACTTTAATTAAGAGATCATTTGCTAAATAAGATAAAAGAAAAAGTGTTCGAGAGTTAAATAAAAATAGAATAAGATAACAGTAAAATTGACTTTTATCTTATTTTATAATGTAGGCATACTAAAAAGTATGATAAGATAATACTACGGAGGATAGACTTATTATATATCTTCGTAGTTTAACAAACATTAAAATTTGAATAGGAAAGATAAAATTATTTTATCTTATTCTTTTAACATATCCCCCAATTAGACTC